TCACTCAAGTAGGCCTTCCTACAGTGGTGCAGTCAGATCAGGGTTCCAATTTTACTTCCCGGTTGTTTAATCAGGTAATGCAAACCCTGGGAGTCCGGCAGTTGAGGTCTTCGGCCTATCACCCTCAGTCACAGGGGGTGGTAGAGAGATTTCACCAGACACTAAAACTCATGTTGCGCACCTTCTGTCTGGAGACTGGGAAGGATTGGGACGAGGGAGTTGACCTGCTTTTGTTTGCTGTTCGGGACAGTAAACAAGAGTCGCTAGGATTCTCGCCCTTCCAGCTCGTCTATGGACATGAGGCGCGAGGGCCTCTTAAGGTGTTAAAAGAGTGTTGGTTGAGTGATCAGAGCGCGACGCCCTTAGCTTCATATGTGGTCCAATTCAAGGAGAAGTTGCGTCTGGCTGTAGAACTTGCCCAGTCCAACTTAAGGTGTGCTCAGGTGAAAATGAAACTGCATTTTGATAAGGCCCATCAGGCAAAACCTAGAGAATTCCAAGTGGGGGAGCAGGTGTTGGCCTTCCTGCCCTTACATGATCACCCTTTTAAATCCAAATACAGTGGTCCATATGAAGTACTAGAAAAACAGGGGTCCGTGAATTATGTGATTAGCACCCCTGAACGGCGTTAGAAAAAACGCCTTATCCATGTCAATCTTTTAAAGTCATATCATGTTCGTAACGAAACCCTGGGAAAAGCAGTTGCTTGTGTTGATCAATCCTTGCCAACTTGTATCATTGTGCCAGAGTGTAAGGATGATAAAGATCAGTGTTTTTCTGAAATAATGAATGGGTCTAGTGTAAAAGTGGAAAACTCTACTATCTTGGAAGACCCCAGTGCTAAGTTGTGCCATCTCTCTAGTGACCAAGCCAATAATATAAAGTCTCTATTACAGGAGTATCTTATTATAGTTGGTGATTACCCACTGTCTTGTTCAGTGCTGGAGCATGACGTTGAGACCAGTGGAGCCAAGCCAATCCAACAGCGTCCCTACCGTCTTAATGCCTTCAAGCAGGAGAGTGTGCGAGCCGAGGTACAGCATCTTCAAGAGCTAGGCCTCGTCGAACCCAACATCAGTCCATGGGCATCCCCTGTTGTTCTAGTTCCAAAGCCGAATGGGTCAATGCGGCTGTGTGTGGATTATCGCAAGGTGAATGCTGTCACTGAACCCGATGGTTATCCCTTGCCACGCATCGACGACGTGATCGACGATCTTGGCCAGGCCAGGTACGTGACCAAGTTGGATCTCCTCCAGGGCTACTATCAGATAAGACTGACTGAACGCTCCAGGGCCATCTCTGCTTTTGTCACTCCTGAGGGGTTGTACCAATTCACAGTCCTTCCGTTTGGTATGCGGAACGCCTCTGCAACCTTTCAACGCCTCATGAATTTCATCACTTCTGGTCTGGAAGGTGTCCGCTGTTACCTAGACGACCTCATCGTCTTCAGCAGTTCCTGGGACGATCACATGAGTCGTCTACAAGCCCTCTTCTCCGTACTGGCTGCAAGCAAGCTGACGGTGAACCTCGTCAAAACTGAGTTCGGCCATGCCCACGTCACTTTCTTGGGGCATGTGGTCGGACAAGGGGAAGTCCAGCCTATAGCAGCCAAAATTGAGGCAATTCAACAGTATCCAGTGCCAGGCGATAAGAAGAGTGTGATGAGGTTGCTGGGTATGGCGGGGTACTACCGCCGTTTTTGTCCAAACTTCTCCTCCGTTGCCTCTCCCATGACTGACCTGCTGAGTGGCAAGAAAACCTTCAAGTGGACTACGGCTTGCCAGGAATCTTTTGATAATCTTAAATCCCTGCTGGCAAATGCTCCTGTACTACTTGCACCTGACCTCCAGAAACAGTTCACTCTCCATGTCGACGCCAGTGAAATTGGCGCCGGTGCTGTGCTTCTGCAAGAGGGTGAGAGTGATCAAGTGCTTCATCCGCTGTGCTATTTTTCTAGAAAATTTAACAAATATCAAAGAAACTATGCCACCATTGAAAAGGAGGCTTTATCACTGATCATGGCACTAGAAAACTTCAAAGTATATATTGGCAGCACTGCTTATCCCGTTCAAGTGTTCACTGATCATAACCCACTTACTTTTGTTGACAAGATGAAACATACCAACCAAAGACTTTTGAGGTGGGCTCTATCACTTCAGCCCTATAACTTGAACATTTCCCATATCCGCTAGTTAACAGAACGTGTTGGCTGATGCACTTTCTCGAGTCTGATTATTTAGAAACTATGTCTATATGCAAATTATTTTTTTGTTTTATTTTCATTGAGTACCTTGTGTTTATATTATGAATTATTTTGCTTCATATTGATTTAAACCAATTGTGTTAGTTATTACTTTCACTGTGTAGCTGTATATCCATTTTCGCTTCAAGTTAGTTGTAAGCTCACTTTTTGGGGGGAGGTGTCACGTGCCTGTGGCGCTCGGGAACTCGCATAGCGTGAGGCATATGTTCACGCCTCCATTTCACACAAGCTATTAATAATTTGTTAATTGTACTTATTATATTATTATTGTTCTTAGTTACTTAGGTTAATTGTATATTTATGTATGTTATTAAAATGCATCATTGTGTTACTCTGTTAAGTCAAATCAAGAGTAGTATTAATTAATTATATAAATTATCTAGCAAATGTCCTGGATCACGTGATATGAGACCTGCTCCTCCACGGCGTGCCCCACGCTTCCCCAGTAGCGAAAACCGTGGCATATGGTAGACGTGTCCATTCGTTCTCTAGCCTTGACCCTTGTCTAGTGCCTTGTCCAGTCTTCTGCAATGCCCTAGGGGTATCAGGTATTAGTGACACGTTTAGTTAGGCCTAGGAAGGGATCCTGGTGGTAAGGAATCTCCTGTTTGGTAGGAAATAACTATTTTGTAGGGATTGTTGTATATATATATTTTGTATGTCTGTGTAATATAGTTATGTTAAGTAGTATTCGTTTGGTCTAACTCCTTACGGTATATTTTCACCCTTCCAGCATCACTCTTATTTTAATATACAATTACTTATTCCCTTAAATTCTTGTTTGCTATAGTCAGTACTCCCTTTAGAACATAAATTGAATTAAATAATTATCTTCCCTTTTGTGACTTACTTATTTCAACTTGTTCATACTTATTCAAGTACATTTAGTTGAGTAGGTTTTTGTGGGGATAATTATTGCCGTGTTCCCTATTTGTTCCTTTATTTGATAATAACTTGGGGTAGGTTTCACTCCCCAGATATAAAGGATATTGGGATCGCGACAGGCACTCAGCTGCTCCTGACATACAGCTGTTCAGAAGATTCCAAGCCAAATGGGAACAAATTGACAAGCAGAAGTTTGAAGACTCCTCCACCGACGATCTGGCAGAAGAATCGGTCAGAGCTGTTAGGGACGATCTAACCAACTTCATTGAGAAGGCTCTATTGGAGACACAGCTTCGAGATGATTATCGAGAGCTGCTAGAGCTGGCCTCCATCTTTCTTGGCACATCACCTTCTCGGGGAGTACGATTTTCTGCTCCTGGTGCAATGCACCAAGCACGATGGATGTCAAAGACCATTCATTCCTTCAAAGTGTGGTTATTCCGTTCTCAGTTTAAGCTTACTCCAAAGGAGAACAGAGGACTAAGATATTTTTGCATTTTCTTTGCCCGAATATATGTGAAGGCTTGGACAACTGCTCCACTTGCTGCAAAGGCACCAAAAGGAGATCTGATGTTGCTTAAAGCTCTACAAGACTACAGTACCATCAGCGATGCCATATCAAAGGCAACTTTCCACAAAATGATGAGACACCTCTGGTACTTGTCAGAAGAGTTGGTTGCATTGGCCTTCTTTGATGACGATGTTCTCCCAGCAGTGAAGGACCGCATGTTGGAAGCTATGGACATCGTTATTGGAGAAGAAAAGCATGTCAAACGAGTTACAATCAATTCAGACACACTCCAAGTGAAGAACCTATATGATTTCACGACAAAGAACACAAAGTCATTTTCAAAAAGCTCAACTTGAATACAGATTTCCTGGCCCTCCCAGTAGAACAGTGGAAAGATGATCCTGGCTTCCAAAATGCAAAAGCCAGTGTACAAGCTTTGTCTGTGATCAATGATCATGCAGAAAGAGGAGTAGCCTTAGTCCAAGATTTCTCAGGCCGCATCACCAAGGACAAACAGGAACTGCAGTATCTACTGCAGGCAGTTGCTGACCACAGGAAATCATTCCCTAATGCCCTCAAGCAGACCTTACTGGGCGACAAAGAGTGAGACTGGTCCTCATGCGACCCTTGCATTAAGCAGCTAATACCCACTTAGACTAAGTGGGGGGGGTGGGGGGCCCAGGCTTGGAAATGGCTAGGAAATGATGTGTTATGAACATTAAGCATAGGCATAATATTGTTAAATTTCACTTGACTTGAGCAACCTCTAATTATTAGGATATTTAAAAAATATTTTACAGGCAACGTTTCTACCCCAAATGAAAACTTATGCCAGGGTCTGTGACAAAAACATGGCAAATTTTGTTTTTTGCCCCAAAATAAGGACCACCCAAAAAATATATATATATATACATATATATATATATATATATATATACAATCAACACCTCAACCCGCCAGGATTCGAACCCATAGCCCACGAGCCCATGACTGTGACCGGGGAACGCTAACTGCTGGACCACCAGGATACAAAAGCAGTCCTAGACTCTGTTATATTTCACACAAAGCCTGTTCAACGAGCTTATGGCGCCGTGAACCTCTAATGGGGACTACCCGTATCACGTAGGTGGTCAAAGTAACGTTTTACCAAATCCTGGCGGGTTGAGGTGTTGATTGTATGTAGAAGTCCACGTGCTTTATTGGGCTACTGAAATATATATATATATATATATATATATATATATATATATATATATATATATATATATATATATATATATATATATATATATATATATATATATATATATATATATATATATATATATATTAAAATGCACTAAGGACACTGAGAACGTTACAAATCGCCGGGGACACTGACGAATTATATTAAGCACTGAACATATTCTGAGGAGTGTTTTGCTAGTAACAATTCGCACATGCAACAATGAGGAATATATATGTGAGTTGCTCAGATGACACACTAAGACACTTTTCACTGTTCTTTACTGCACACGGTTAAACAATACTCGAACTGAATTAAATGAAGGGAGAGACGTGCCAGGTGTAATGGCTAAGCGCGGGAGGGCGTGGGTTCACGTTAAGTACGCTGCTACCAGTGTAATGAGGGGGGGTTTTGCGTAGAAAGTATAGATAGGGGGAATTTCTTAAACCTACCAGTGTAATGAATAGGAACTCGTACAGGAGATATAGGTAGAATATTTATAGTTGTAGGAATAAAAAGTGAGGAAGTTTGGTAGCGTTGCCCCAGCGTTGGGGGGGTGGGGGGGGGCTCACTTTCAGGTGATCCAAATATTTAAAATTATCGTTTTAAGGAGATGGGCTGTTACAGAGCTGAGTAGTTTACGAAGATATTAAGTGAGCATTCATGTTGTTTATGTGAGAAATTATCAATGAACTTAGCAAGTTAGTTATTGTGTGAAAGATTGACTCATTGTTGGAGCCAAGACAACCCCCCCCCCCCTCCCATGAATTAAGTACAGCGGCTAGTGTATTGTGCATCTCATACTCATCCAGTGAACGGTAGCTCAAAAGGATTACAGAGTAGAGGTCACAAAGGGTGTGTATAACAGACATCAGTGGTCAGGATATTATGACATTGAATATTACTGAGAATTTCAACCACATTCTTTGTTTAGTTCTGTACATAGAAGGTGACTAATTCGCAACACCCTCAGGAGAGTCTCGTGTTCCGTTTATACCCCCTTATGCTAACAGGAGGAGCTGGGTTAACATCTTAGAAGTAGGAGGAGCGAAGGGAGGCGTAGCCGTAGGTGATGGGGCAGAAGGTCCTAGCGGCCACATCGTAGATACTGTCCCTACCAATCACGACGGGTTCTTGATGGCTGTATAGATCCCACACGCGTAGGACAAAGACGGACTTGAATTTCTGGAATCCAGAAAAAAAAAAAGGATCACGTGAAAATTATAGGCACCTTAGCTTTATTTCACCTGATATTTTAAACAGTCTAACGCATTGACATTAATATACGATCATATATTTTTAACCTCTTCCAGTTTCGTGCCGTAGCCATCAGCGAAGTAATATTTCCAGAACTTGCTCGGCACTGGTTGGATGTTTTGCTGTGAGAGGAGTGTAACACCCTGGCAGGTGGAATGTCCGGCCACAACGTCATCCAATTCTGTCGTGTTGCACAGTTTCTCAAGGGTCTTGGTGGACACACCTGGCCCGGTTACCTGCCACTTGCCCACCTTATTCTAAAACGAAAATAAAAATGAATTTCGCCTCATCTTATTGATTTTATATTTTTCTGTCTTTCTTTTTTTTTCTCAAATAATTACTATTACTTTTGTCATACCATCGCTTCTGGAACTAAACGTCTTGAATTATTCGTTAATTCTCCGCCAGTCTTAAATTTTGTCTTTCTTAAAGTCGGATTATCAGGCTAGTCGAAAACACGGAGTGTTGGGTCTTTACTTTACTCCTTGAGAACAAAACTCTTCCTCAACATACCAAAAAACACACACACCTGGAAGTTCTTCGCGAGGTACTCCATGACCATGTAAACAAAGCGATGACCAGCGTCGAAGTGCATGAGAGCGTTGTCGGCGTCGCCCTCTTCGATAATCTGGTAGGCGATGACATTATGGAGGTGTGTCACATCCTTCATGCAGATGGTGTCGGCGTCACTGTAGAAGCCTCCCCACAGCCACACCAACGCGTTCCGTAAAAAGTTGCTCAGATCGTAGGCGGGCCAGGCTGTGTATAAGTGGAGGTTTGGTTAACGACTCACAAGACACGTAGCTGACTATGTGGTTTCATAACACAATTTATTGTAGACAGGTAACACTGTAACCAGATAAATTGTGCCCAGCTAACACTCAATTGAGGAACCACCACTGTACCAGGTAAAATTGTATCTAGGTAACAAACATCTGCTAGGACATACATTACGCTAACACCTGCTAGGACATACTTTAGGCTAACTAACAACTGCTAGGACATACTTTAAGCTAACTAACATCTGCTAGGACATATGTTAAGCTAACTAACATCTGCTGTACTGTCGCAGTGACCTTAAACCATCACCCCTAGGTGTTAATGTACCTGAAGATGTAGAGGACTTGTGGGTTCAGGTCACTCCCACCTCCCCCCCCGCCAGCTTGCCTCCCTCATTGTTTATGTTTGCTATCACCCCCCTGCGCTCCATCCGCCAATGTACTGATTACTCATATAATAGACACTGCTGACTCCCTGAGATCCAGATTTTCAGGTGCTAAACTAGTGATATGCGGTGACTTTAATGAGTTAGACATCAGTGACATCACCCAACACCACCTTGCACAAATAGTTGATTTTCTCACACATGGGAATGCCATCCTCGACCTCATCATGAATGATCTCGGTAACCACTACCTTCTCCCCCAGCCGCTGCCTTCCATGGGGCGCAGCCCCCACCTGTCTCTACTGTGGTCACCTACACCTACCATATCACGACCGCCAGTTGCCACCAGGACCTACCGACCTACCCCTGACTCTGCCATGCGGCGTTTCCGACAATGGGTGACCCGGTATCCCTGGACTGAAGTGATCACGTTAGACGATAAGCAGAACAAGTGGGATAATTACCTGGACACTATCACCAAAGCCTACCACCACTTCTTTCCAGCCAAGACACTGAGGAACCACCCAGATGATGTCCCGTGGATTACACCCCGTATCAAAAGACTAATTTAGCAGCGCAACAAGGCATACTACACCAACAACCGCCTGTACAAAGTCTACGTAACCAGGATATCAGGGAAATCAAGTCAGCCAAAAAGTTTTATTATCCAAGGAAAGTGCACGGCCAAGGAGGTCGGCATCGGTCAGTGGTACTCCAAGGTAAAAGATCTCTGTGGTCTTAACCGTCAGTCTCCCAAACTTCCTTTCATCTCACATTTACCTAGTGAGGAGGCAGCTGAGATAATTAATAACCACTTTGCTACCATATGTCATACCCTACCCAGTCTTGACCTCACTCTCCTCCCGGCTTACTTACCTTCCCCCTCTTCCCCTCCCAGTGTTCAACCATTTTAAATCGCCAACAAACTCCTGAAATTTGAATCCAAATGCTCCACGACCCCAATTGACCTCCCAATCAAAATTTACAAGGAGTTAGCAGTCTAACTTGCCACCCCCTTCTGTTCTATTATTAATGCATCCCTCAGACAAAGCAAATGCCCTAATGAATGGAAAACCGCATTTGTCACCCCTATCCCCAAGTTCACCACCCCACAGTCCCCTAACGACCTCAGACCAGTTGCCATTACCCCCATACCCAGTCTACTCTGTGAAGACTTTGTTTTTGAGTGTGCATTTGCTAGAATTTATCAGTCAATTGATCCACAGCAATTTGGCAATATAAGGACCTCCTCTATATCACATTGCTTAGTTAGTTTCCTGGATTTCCTGCACAAAAACCTGCAGAAACGTAAGACATCACTGGCCGTTGCCCTTGTTGACTTCAGGAAGGCTTTTGACCTTGTTGATCACTGCACTGTTATCAACAAGGCCATTGCACTAAGGCTACCCACCAACTTAGTCTCATGGCTCACTGATTTCTTGAGTGAACTGCGGCAAGCAGTCAGGTACCAGGGTTCTGTCTCCACATTCCAACACCTCACCTGCTGTGTTCCCCAGGGGACCAAGATGGGACCACTGTGCTTCCTCATCCTGATCAACGACGCTCTATCGGACACTCCTCACAGGTGGAAGTACGTGGATGACTGCACTGTGGGGGTTACAGTGGACAACACCGCACCAGACTACTCATCGCTACAAGGCACCCTGGACAGGCTACAGGCATGGACTAATGAGAACAAGGTCACCATCAACCATACCAAAACCGTAGTCATGCACATCAATACCGCTACCACTCCAGTGCAAGCTCCAGCAGTCACAGTGGGTGCCCATCCTCTCCAGTTAGTGCAGTCTGCCAAACTCCTGGGTGTTACCATAGACCACAAACTGGACTGGAAGGCCCATGTAAACAACACAATCAAGGCAGCCTCGTACTGACTCTACATGCTACGACGACTTAGGTCATTTGGGACACCCACGCCAGAGCTGAGGACTATCTACAACGCCTTTATTCTCCCCAAACTAACGTATGCGTCACCAGCCTGGTCGTCTTCTCTCAACTCCACCCAACAACGTCGGCTAGAGAAGGTACAGAAAAGGGCCTGCAGAATCATGCTCGGTGCAGACTACTCCGGCTACTCCACTCTCTCCACCCTGGATATACCATCCCTCAGTGACCTCCACCCCCAAGCACTAGCAAGGTTTGGCAGTGGACTACTGCACCATCCTCGTCATCGCCACCTCCTGCCACCGGCAGTCCCCCACCCACCTCGTGCAGTCCGCCACTACAACAAAATTCAGCCCATAAGAGCCCGCACCGATAGATATAAGAACAGCACCATCCCATCTATTGTTAAAATAATATACAACTCCTGATTTACTGAATGTACTGTACAGCCCTGTAAATGTATTGAATGCATGTCATTATGTCTAATTCAAATGTAAGTTTGTATATTTTCAGCCACCGACTGCAACTCTATTAATAAACCGTTTATTATTATTATTATTATTTATGTTAAGCTTACTAACATCTGCTAGGACATACATTAAACTAACAAACATCTGCTAGGACATCCATTAAGCTAACTAGTACCTTCCGTGGCCGGACAGATGGCCGAAGGACATTTGGCCGACGGACGTTTCACAGACAGACATTTGACCAAACGGACATCGAGCCGACGGACAAATGGCCGAACAGACAATAGACCGAACGGACAAATGGCCGAACGGGCATTTAGCCGAATGGACATATGGCCTTTTTAATTTTATTTTTATTTCTTCTTTGCAATGTATTTTTTGCACATTTACTAAAGGATAAAAGATATTAATTGTAATGCAATTGCTATATAAAAATTGCTTCAGTCTTGTGCTTAATATCTGGTAGACGTTGGAAATAATCAGCATTATTCGGAAACAATCGGCATTATTTTCCCCAATTTCAATTTAACTAGTGAATTACAAGGACTGAGAGAGGTTTATGTACACAGGGTGACCTTGCAAAACATGAGGTCAGGTCAAACACATGACATCCGCTAATCCACACACCAACACCACCAGAAATACAAAAGAAAGAGCGACGTAACTAGTCATGTTAAGTCAGGTGAAGTTCTTAGCCACGCCCCAAACCAAAAAAAAAATGTATATCATGCAAATGTATCACATTGTAATTATGTTATCTTTTTATCCTTTATTTTATAAAGCAAATACATTGAAAGAAGCATTTACTTTACAATAAATATCCTTTATCCTTTAGTAAATGTGCAAAAAATACATTGCAAAGAAGAAATAAAAATAAAATAAAAAATTAAAAAGGCCATATGTCCATTCGGCCAAATGTCCGTTCGGTCATTTGCCCGTTCGGTCTATTGTCCGTTCGGCCAAATGTCCGTCGGCTTGATGTCCGTTCGGTCAAATGTCCGTCGGTGAAACATCCGTCGGCCAAATGTCCTTCGGCCATCTGTCCGGGAGCCGTACCTTCTAGGATATACATTAAGCTAACACGTACTAGGACATGTATTAAGCTAACTAACACCTGCTCGGACATATAATAAGCTAAATAACATCTTCTATGATACACAATAAACTAACTGTCATCTGCTAGGAAATACAGTAATCTAACTAACATCTGCTAGGACATACATTAAGCTAACTAAAACCTCCTAGGACATACATTATGCAAACTAGCATTGCTAGGACATGCATTGAGCTAACTAACAGCTGCTAGGACATACATTAAGATAGCTAACAGCTGCTAAGACATACACTAAGCTAACTAACATCTGCTATGAAATACATTAATCAAACATCTGCTAGAATATACAATAAGCTAGTAGGTAGTAGGCAGCTATCAAACAGGGAGGTACTACCATCTGGGAAGATATTGGAAGCATAATGTATTGTCTAATGGTAGACCCTGCTGCCATATGGCATTACGAAAATTGGGACTAAGTCCCAGGTTGCTCATCTGACTTTCTGCCTCATTTACACACAATTGCAGGGTCTCAATTGTTTCTCTTACTATTGACAACACAACATACATATATTGTTTCTCACTTTTGATCTTTTTTTTAATTTTTGTATATCTTCATTATTATTATTATTATTATTATTATTATTATTATTATTATTATTATTATTATTATTATTATTATTAGTGTTATTATTATTATAATTATCAATTTATTATTTTATTTTCAATTTTGTATTTTTATTATAAATTTTATTTACTTTGAATTATTATTATTATTATTATTATTATTATTATTATTATTATTATTATTATTATTAATATTATTATTATTATTATTATTATTATTATTATTATTATTATTATTTTTATTATTATTATTATTATTATTATTATTATTATTATATATTCGCCCCCCAGGCCCAGATGTGGGTCAGTGACCTGTGCCCGGGTGGGTTGATCCCCATAACATGAACTGAGCATGCTTCTCAGATGGGCACTGTAAACGCTTCTGCGCTTCATCTTGCACAGGATAAGAACATAAGAATATAAGAGTGGAGGAAACTGCAGCGGACCTATTGGCCCATACTGGGCAGTCCCATTTACACCCAACCATTATTGCTCATATAAGCACCCAACCTATGTTTGAAGCTACCCAGCGTATTTGAGTTAATGATGATATTTGGTAACTTGTACCATTCATCCAATACTCTGTTTCCAAACCAGTGTTTACCTATTTTGCTCCTAAATCTAAATTTGTCTTATTTAAAACCATTGTTACGAATTCGCTCCTGGTTGGATAGTTTGAGTACCTTTTTAATGTCCCCTTTGTTTAGCCCTGACTTCCATTTATACATCTCTATCATGTCGCCCCTCGCTCTACGTCTCTCGAGGGAGTGCAAATTAAGATGCTTTAACCTGTCTCTATACTCAAGGTTCCTAATGCCCGGGATTAGTCTTGTCATTCTCCTCTGAATTCTTTCCAAGGATTCTATATCCATTCTGTAATACGGTGACCAGAACTGAACTGCGTAATCCAGGCGTGGTCTCACAAGAGCAAGATATAATCGTATGATGACCTCACTAATCTTGTAACTGACACTCCTTTGCATGAACCCAAGTACTTTATTAGCCTTGTTACGAGCAAAAACACATTGTTTATTTGGCTGAAGGTTCCTACTTATCATTACTCCTAAATCTCTCTCGCAGTAGGATTTCTCATTGGCATCGTTGTTCATCTGGTAACTGGTTTCCCTGTTTACATCTCCTATACTGAGTACTTTACATTTGTCCACATTGAATTTCATTTGCCATTTTTCAGACCATTTGAAAAATTTGTTTAGATCTTCCTGTAGTTTTGCGAAGTCCTTGTCAGATTTAATTACACATCCTATTTAAGTGTCATCAGCAAATATACTTATGTTGTTGTCTATGCCGATATCTATGTCGTTTATGTATATAATAAATAATAATGGTCCAAGTACTGAGCCTTTGGGAACTCCACTAGTGACGTTGCTCCAATGGGATTTAGTGCCGTTAATGCCCAATCGCTGTTTCCTGTCCTGTAACCACGCCCTAATCCATTTAAGGATATTACCTTTGATGCCATGTGCTTCTACCTTTCTAATTAGTCTTTCGTGGGGGACTCTGTCGAAGGCTTTACTAAAGTCGAGATACACCACATCATAATTGTGCCCCTCGTCCACCGATTCAAAAACTGATGAAAAGAATGTTAATAGATTAGTTAGACATGAACGCCCACTTGTGAAGCCATACTGGGAATCAGTGGTCAATTGGTACTCCTCCAGGTGATTTCGAATAGAGTTTGAAATGATTGCTTCCAGTAATTTGCCTACTATTGATGTTAGACTGATCGTACGGTAGTTAGAGGATAGTGATCTATCCCCCTTCTTTAAAATAGGTATTACATTCGCTATCCTCCAGGATTCTGGTACTACACCTGTTTTTAAGGACATCTTAAACAACTTTGCTAAGGGCATACGAAGCTCTTCTTTACATTCCTTTAATACTCTGGCAAATATCTCATTGGGACCAGATGACTTAATAGGCTTTAGTTTGTCTATTTGCTTACTAACATCATTATTAGTCACTACTATCTCGCTTAATCTGTTTTCTTCACTATCTCTGAATAGAGTCGGTGCCTCGGGTATCATGTTTAAATTTTCGGTGGTGAAAACTGTTGAAAAATATTTATTCAGATTATTGCTCATTTCTCCGTCGTTATCGGTTAGCTCACCGGCATCTGACTGTATTGGTCCAATCTTTTCTCATGTTTTAGTTTGATATATTTGATAGAATCCCTTGGGGTTTGTCTTCGCCTCCCTTGCTATCTTTACCTCATTATTCCTCTTTGCTTTCCTTATCTCTGTCTTAACCCTACTGGCCAATACCTTATAATAATCCCGGAAGTAAATTTCACCATGATTTATCCTTCTATCTATAGCCTTCCTTTGGCCAATAATGTTCTTTAAATAATTATTTATCCATTTAGGGTCATTGTTGTCTGATCTGAGTTTTTTGTATGGTATGTTCTGCCTTTGTGCATTAAGTAACTCATTATTTAAATTTTCGTGGAACTCGGCAACCTCAGACCTCGTTATCAGGACGTTTTCAACCGTCAGGTTCATGGGTGGGATGAGGTCGGTGTAGTTCACCCCCAGGCGTGATACCCCTTCTCTCAACTGCCTCTTCAAACTATCAAAGTTTGCCCTTCTGAAATCTGGGATTTTTTTTTAATTTTCCTTACGTCTACCCTGAAAATCTAACTGGAATCTAATTTCTTTGTGATCGCTGTTTGCAAGTTCATTCCCTACCTCGACATTGCTAATGAGGTTTTCTCTGTTCGACAGAACTAAATCGAGTATATTATTACCCCGGGTGGGTTCGGTTATATGTTGACTTAGGAAACAGTCCTGGATCGTGTAAGGGGGTGCCCAATAAACTAGCCCCCTCCGGGGGCGATCTAAAAAAATCTAAAATCTAACATCTGGTAGGACATACATTAAGCTAACAAACATCTGCTAGGATATACAATAAGCTAACATCTGCTAGGCTATACAATAAGCTAACATCTTCTAGGACATACATTAAGCTAACTAACATCTGCTTGGATATACAATACGCTAACTAACATCTGCTGGAATATACAATAAGCTAACATCTGCTAGGACACACATTTAGCTAACTAACACCTTCTAGAATCTACAATAAGCTTGGACACGGCATAACACTCACCAGGATTCTTTGCCCAATTACTAGACTGGAATAAATTCTTTAAAGGAGTGTTCACGAATATGTTGTTGAGGTTAGGAGTCACGAGATGGAGGTTGGAGTAACAACTTAACAGCTTGCTTAAGAGGCCGTCTGAGTCGTCAGCTGTGAGACTCGTCATGATGTACCAAATTTCTGCTCCGGGGTTCTGACGCGCCCAACTGTTAAACAAATACACTGAAGAGATGACTTATTCATATGGTTAAACAATGACTCCTGTGGTTAGTTATTATGATCAAAGTGTTATGGCAAACTTAGTAATGTTCCACCTTTCTTCCACCCACCACCACCTACTTCTCCACCACCCACTACCACCACCCACCACCACCACCACCACCTACCTCTCCACCGCCCACCACAACTCACCTCTCCACGGCGCACCAGGCTCGGTAGCTAGGGCGAGGGTTGCAGGTCGTCTCCATCAGGTATACATTGTAGTTGGTCTTCGAGGGAGTGACGTCACTGTACAAGGATATCGTACTTCCTATGGTCAAAGGCTATAGTTGGCATCCTTAATATACAGATCACCACAAAAGACTGGCGATATTGTCTACATCTAGTGACTTTTGTAACCATCTATATATTGGTTACACGTTTGTTCTCACAAATAAATTCCTACGTGACTCAGTGAACCGATAAATGGGGAATACGGAGAAATTAACTTGTACCTCTACTTAACATAAACATGTAATCAAGTCCTACAGTCGCCTGCACTTAAACAGCGGCTGGCGCGTTTTCTGAGGTGTGGCAACACTGTGGAATGTTTATCTCGCATCCTTTGTCTGGCTCCTATTGTGACGTTCCTTAGGGCCATTCTGGGAGTTGTTATACGATGTAAAAAAGCGCAGAGTTGCCACGTCTCACAAAGCGCGGCACCTGCTGTACTAGGTATACTTGTGTGTGTACGCGACTGTATCTTCGAAAACACTGCCCTGCTGACTACCTACATCAGGGAGGTAATAGTTGGACACGACACGTCAATATTTCTGTACTTTGTGTCTTTCCGTGAGGTTTAATGGAGTGTTTGTGGGATCAGAAATACTTTCAGTAGTACCCTTTCAATTGTATAATCTTAAAAATCACCTCTGATCAATAATCAAAACAAAAATCGCCCAAGTAACTATCAATATGTCTCAAAAACAGTATCATGCCGAGTTTCAATAACATGCCCCCCCCCCCCTCCTCCTTTTTAGACTGAGGGAGTGTAACGTGTTCTCTGGCAGTCAGAACAGCTGCATTACCCGTTTGTTTACCTGTACAGTTTGGGCAGGACATAAGAGCGGTGATCTGGGGTTGACTTGGCAGCTTCACACAGAACCTCTCGCCACCACTCCTGCTCTGACCTGCCATCTGCAGCCTCGCCCCACTGACTACCATCTGCAATATTTCACTTGTTATCTGATCAACGATAGATGGTGTATAATGTACATGTCTAAATCAGCAGTACTTCAAAGTAACTCAATAATTGATTCATGCTTGGGAGATGATTCTTGGTACAGACGCTGGTATGGATATACACTCTTGAGGGGCTGTAAGTCGGGTAACCTTTTGAAAACAAAGGGGTTAATCCATTGCTTTCAAAGGGTTATCATACAATCGTGCATAAAGTGTTAAAAAACCAATACAATCGAATTTAAAGAGTTAAACAATCGCCCTCAAAGAGCTAAATCATCGTCTTCAAAGGATTAAACCATCGTCTTCAATGGGTTAAATCATGGTCTTCAAAGAATTAAACCATCACCTTCAAATAGTTAAACCATTGTCTTCAAGAAGTTAAACCATCGTCTTCAAAGGGTTAAACCATCGCCTTCAAAGAGTTAAACCATCGTCTTCAAAGAGTTAAACCATTGTCTTCAAAGATTTAAACCATCACCTTCAAAGAGTTAAACCATCATCTTCAAAAATTTAAAATTATCCCAGTTGTGTTCTGACCTCACTAGAGGAAAGGTCACGGCAGGCTTAGCTCCGGGGGATTAATTGTCAGTAATGGCTAGTACTACTTGTGAACAGGACTGTGCCCTTCAGAGGGCAGAGTTAGAGAGGACCAAGGAAGAAAACTTGAAACTAAAGGAAGAGATAGCGAGGATGAAGGAGGAAACGAGACAAGGAAAGCCAGTGTCTGACGAAAACTCAGGCGCATGGAAGGTTGTCAGGAGGGACGACCAAACTGATGGTGAAAAAAACACACCAAGATGGTGAAAAAACCCACCAAGCATACGACAACAACAGCTAAGTGTACCAATCCTTTCAGTCCTTTGATAGACGAATTGGATGTTAACCTAGTCAGGGACAAGGCTGACAAGGAAGATAGGAAAACCTTAATTGTTGGCGATTCCCAGGTATGGTACCTGGACAGAGCTTTTTATGGTAAAAATATAAATAGGATGAGGGTGTGTTTGCCAGGAGATGAGGTGGGGGATATAGTTGACAGGATGGACAATATCTTGTCTGGTAATGGGAACAAACCCATTTTCTGCCTTAGTGCAGGAGGCAATGATATTGGCCGGTGTAGGAGTGAGAAGCTTCTTGATAATTTCAAGACAGCTATAGAATGCACTAGGTCGAAGGGAGGGATCCCTATCATATGTGGTGTCCTGCCTAGAAGGAGAGCTGGCAATGAATTGCTGTCAAGGGCAGTTGGTGTCAACGGCCGGCTTGACGGATATTGCAAGTCAATATCAGTCCCATTCATTGACAACTGGGACAACTTCTACGGCAGAAGGGACCTTTATGCGAGGGATGGGGTGGCAACCCTGGCTGGTTCTCTTGAGAAGGCAGTTCAAAAGATGTCTAAGTCTTTAAACTGATAAGAGAACATATGACCACGGGGGTGGAGGAGACTGCAGTGAGAACGGGTAAACAAAGTGAAAGGTTACAGGGAAATGGTGCTAGGAATTATGGCAAAACTAAATTAGGCAGGTAGTTAAAACATAAACGCGACAAAGAGAGGACTCAGAACACAACTAACTTAAATGTCTACTAGGCAAACAGTAGAAGTATGAGAAACAAAAGAGATGAAATCAGGGCGTTGGCATGTACCGAAAAAAATCGATATAATAGCATTCACCGAAACATGGATAAACCTAGACTCACGTGAGTTACCTGTCGAATACCAAATTGCAAGTTACATATTATTCCATAAGGATAAGCAAATTAGGAAAGGAGGCGGAGTAGCAACCTATGTCAGGGATAATTTGGTGTTAAATAAATAAGGTAATAAAAACAGAACGAAATACAGAAACAATGTGGACAGAACTAATCGATGGTAGGGAAAAATTTCTCACAGGAATAATATATAGACCTCCTAATCTTGATTGAGTTAATGAGCGACTTATTTGGGATGAAATGCGCAGGGCTTCCATACATAGCAAAGTCTGAATAGTAGGCGACTTTAACTTGAGCCAAATTGGTTGGATGGACCTTACAGGTAACTCAGAATCAGAGAATTTTCTTGAAACAATCCAGGACTGTTTCTTAAGCCAACATATAACCGAACCCACCCGGGGTAATAATATACTCGATTTAGTTTTGTCAAACAGAGAAAACCTCATTAGTAATGTCGAGGTAGGGAACGAATTTGCTAACAGCAATCACAAAGAAACTAGATTCCAGTTAGAATTTCAGGGCAGCCGCAAGGAAAATTCCACTAAAGTCCCAGATTTCAGAAGGGCAAACTTTGATAGCTTGGGGGTGAACTACATGACCTCACATGAGGTGACCTCTCACAATGCACCCACAGAGGGCGACCTCACCTTACCGGGAGACCTGATAACGAGATCTGAGGTTACCGAGTTGCACAACAATTTAAATAATGAGTTACTTAATGCACAAAGGCAGAACATACCATACAGAAAACTCAGATCAAACAACAATGACCCTAAATGGGTAAATAATTATTCAAAGAATATTATTGGACAAAGGAAGGCTATAGGTAGAAGGATAAATCGTGGTGAAGTCTACCTCCGAGATTATTATAAGGTATTGGCCGGTAGGGTTAAGACCGAGATAAGAAAAGCAAAGAGGAATAATGAACTGAAGGTAGCAAGGGAGACGAAGGCAAACCCCAAGGGATTCTATCAAATGTATCAAACAAAAACATGAGAAAAGATTGGACCAATACAGTCAGACACCGGCGAGCTAACTGATAATGACGGAGAAATGAGAAATAATCTGAATAAATATTTTTCAACACTTTTCTCCACCGAAAATTTAAACATGATACCCGAGGCACCGACTCTATACAGATATAGTGAAGAAATTAAAATTAAGCGAGACAGCAGTGACTCGTAACGATGTTAGTAAGCAAATAGACAAATTAAAGCCTAATAAATCACCAGGTCCCAATGAGATATTTGCCAGAGTATTAAAGGAATGTAAGGAAGAGCTTATTATTGCTTTAGCAAAGTTGTAGTCCCCAAATGGAGGTTCACGGCGCCATAAGCTCGATGAACAGGCTTTGTGTGAAATATAACAAAGTCGAGGACTGCTTTTAGTGTCCTGGTGGTCTCGAGGTAACGTTCCCCGGTCACACACATAAGATCGTGGGTTCGAGTCCTGGCGGGGTGAGGTTGTTGATTATATGTAGAAGTCCGCGTGTTTTATGGGCTAATGAAATATAAATGGAACCTCGTGTTTCGAAGCCGGATTTGGTAAAAAGTTACTCTGATCACCTAAGAGGCAAGGGTAGTCCCCAATTAGAGGTCACGGCACCATAAGCTCGATGAACAGGCTTTGTGTGAAATATAACAAAGTCTAGGACTGCTTTTAGTGTCCTGGTGGTCTAGAGGTAACGTTCCCGGTCACACACATGAGATTGTGGGTTCGAGTCCTGGCAGGGTGAGGTTGTTGATTTTATATATATATATATATATATATATATATATATATATATATATATATATATATATATATATATATATATATATATATATATATATATATATATATATATATATATATATATATATATATATTTCATGTAAATCCACAATGAAAACGTGGATAAGATAAATCTTGATAAAATCACACGGGAAAATGGAAACAACGGAGTACCTTAGCTTTCGTCTTTATTCAAGACATCTTGAATAAAGACTAAGGAGAAGTACAAAACAAGGTATATGTATCCAGAGGAGGGTGAGATCAAGTTCAGAATAATAATGAATGTATGAACACACATTAGTAGGTTCATACATTCATTATTATTGTGCCCACCATAATAGAGGCAAACAGTCAGTATTTTCATCAATGTTTTTACCTGCTTTAAGAATTTGCAGCCCGGAATTCATTGATGAGGAATATAAATATATTTATAATATTGGCTTGAACCTTAAGTACCCTAGATCTAATCCTGGCGGGGTGAGGTGTTGATTATATATATATATATATATATATATATATATATATATATATATATATATATATATATATATATATATATATATATATATATATATATATATATATATATATATATATATATATATATAAAAGTAACAATAATTTTGAAGGCATTAAAATGAATCCTTTCTCAAGACAAATGTTAAAATCGTACGTCTGAGAGAGATATTTTGAGATAAAAAGCTCTGTGATTTTAATTAATTATAATTTCCAGCACGAGCAAAGAAGGTGACAAAATTATATCCGCCTTACCGGATCTGACAGCTACTTGTGGTGACAACTTAGACGCAGGCCGCCAGGAAGTAGTGGGCAGCAGGAAGTGAAGGCCAGGCAGACGGTGGCAACTCTCTGAGGAGGAAACGACAGGCTGCAGCCCCATCACCACGAGGAACATCAACACCGTCACCCACTGCTTAATGTGCTTCATCATTCTCAGCTTCAACCTCTACTAAAATAAGACAAAAATATTATTAACAATTTTCTTACACTCCTTACCACCACAGTCCCCTCCCTACCACCACACTCCCTCCTTACGACCACACCCCCCTCCCTACCACCACACTCCCTCCCTCCCTACCACCATACCCCCCTCCCTACCATCACACTCTCTCCCCTACCACACACTCCTCTCCCCTACCACACACCCCTCCCTACCACCACAATCCCCTCCCTACCACCACCTCCCTCCCTACCCACCACACTCCCTCCCCCACCACCTCCCTCCCCACCACACTCCCTCCCACCACACTCCCCTCCCTACCCACCATACCCCCTCCCCACCACCACTCCCCTACCACCACACCACTACCACCACCACACTCCCTCCCTACCACCACACTCCCCTCCCTCCCTACCACCCACCCCTCCCTCTCTACCACACTCCCCTCCCCTACCCTCCCTCCCTACCCACCCCTCCCCTCCACCACCTCCCCTCCCTACCCTCCCTCTCCCTACCCACCTCCCTCCCTAAACCACACACCCCCCCTCCGTAGCACCACACTCCCCCCACCACCACCACACACTCCCTCCTCTCCCTACCACACACACTCCTCACCCCCTACCCACCACACTGTCATCTTCTGCTACACTGTCATCTTCAGCTGCACTGTCATCATCTTCTGCTACAATGTCATCTTCTGCTACACTGTCACCTTCTGCTACATTTTCACCTCCTAAATTTTCGCCTTCTTCTACTCTGTCATCATCTTCTGCTTCACTGTCATCATCTGCTACACTGTCAACATCTGCTACACTGTCATCTTCAGCTGCACTGTCATCATCTTCTGCTTCACTGTCATCATCTGCTACACTGTCAACATCTTCTGCTACAATGACATCATCTTCTGCTAACACTGTTACAGGTATCAGCCACACTGGCATCTTCTGCTACACTGTATCGTCTACTACACTCCCATTGTCTTCTGCTACACTGTCACTTTCTGCTACACTGTGTCATCTGCTACACTGCCATCATCTCCTGCTACACTGTCAACTTCTGCTACACTGCGTCATCTGCTATACTGTCATCATCTTCTGCTACACTGCCTTCATATTCCGCTACACTGTCATTATCTTCTGCTACACTGTCATCATCTTCTGCTACACTGTTATCATCTTCTGCTACACTGTCATCATCTGCTACACTGTCATCATCTTCTACTACACTGACACCATCTTCTGCTACACTGCCATCATCTGCTACTGTCATTATCTTCTGCTACACTGTCATCATCTTCTGCTACACTGTATACATTTCTGCTGCTGCCATCATCTTCTACAACGTCTGCATCTTCTGCTACTGTCATCTTCTGCTACACTGTCATCATCTGCTTCACTGACATCATCTTGCTACCTGTCATCATCTTCTGCTACACTGTCTGTCATCTTCTGCTACAAGCGTCTCCTTTGCTACACTGCCTCACCTTCTACACTGTCATCATCTGCTACTGTCATCATCTGCTACACTGTCATCATCTTCTGCTACACTGTCTGCATCTGCTACACTGTCATCATCTTCTGCCTACACTGTCATCACCTTCTACACTGTCACCCATCTTCTGGTACACTATCTTATTCTGCTACACTATCACCGTCAACTACACTGCCATCATCGTCTGCTACACTGTCGCAACCTTCACTACAATGGCACCATCTTCTGCTAAACTGCTCACCTTCTGCTACACTGTCACCTCCTACATTTTCGCCTTCTGCTACTCTGCCATCATATTCTGCTACACTGTCATTATCTTCTGCTACACTATCACCTTCTGCTACACTATCACCTTCTGCTACACTATCACCTTCTGCTACACGGTCACCTCCCGCATTTTCACCTTCTGCTACTCTGTCATCATATTCTGCTACACTGTCCTCATCTTCTGCTTCACTGTCATCATCTGCTACACTGAAACATCTTCTGCTACACTGTCATCTTCAGCTGCAGAGTCATCATCTTCTGCTTCACTGTTTCTCATCTGCTACACTGTCAACATCTTCTGCTACACTGTCATCATCTTCTGCTGACACTGTCAACATCTCCTGCTACACTCTATCGTCTGCTACACTGCCATCATCGCCTGCTACACTGTCAACTTCTGCTACACCGTGTCATCTGCTATACTGTCATCATCTTCTGCTACACTACCTCCATCTTCCGCTACACTGTCATCATTTTCTGCTACACTGTCATCATCTTCTGCGATACTGCCATCATCTGATACACTGTCATCATCCTCTGCTACACTGCCATCATCGTCTGCTAAACTGTCATCATGCTCTACTACACTGTCATCATATTCTGCTACACTGTCATCATCTTCTGCTACCCTGTCATCATCTTCTGCTAAACTGTCATTATCTTTTGCTACACTGTCATCATCTTCTGCAACACTATCATAATCTTCTGCTTCACTGTCATCATCCTCTGCTACACTGTCATTATCTTCTGCTACACTGTCATCGTCTTCTGCTACACTGCCATTATCTTTTGTTACACTGTCATAATCTTTAGCTACACTGTCACCTTCAGCTACACTGTCATCATCTTCTGCTACACTGTCATAATCCTCTGCTTCACTGTCATCATCCTCTGCTACACTGTCATCATCTTCTGCTACACTGTCATCATCTTCTGCTACACTGTCATTTATCTTCTGCTACTCTGTCATCATTTTCTGCTACACTGCCATCTTCTGCTACACTGTCACCTTCTGCTACACTATCATCTTCTGCTACACTGTCATCATCGTCTGCTACACTATCATCACCTTCTACTACAATGGCACCATCTTCTCTTACACTGTCACCTTCTGCTACAGTTTCACGTCCTAAATTTTCGCCTTCTGCTACTCTGTCATCATATTCTGCTACAATGTTATCATCGTCTGCCACACTGTCATCTTCTGCTACACTGTCATCATAATCTGCTACACTGTCATCATCTTCTACACTGTCATCATTTTCTCCTACACTGCCATCATCTTCTGCTACAACGTCACCATCTTTTGCTACACTGTCATCATCTGCTACACTGTCATCATCTGCTACACTATTATCATCTTCTGCAACACTGTTATCATCTTCTGCTACACTGTCATCATCTTCTGCTACACTTCCATCATCTGCTACACTGTCATCATCTCTCTGCAACACTGTTATCATCTTCTGCTACACTGTCATCATCTGCTACACTGCCATAATCTTCTGCTACACTGTCATCATCTTCTCATACACTGCTATCATCTGTTACGCTGTCATCATCTTCTGCTACACTCTCATCATCTTCTGCTACTCTGTCATCATTTTCTGCTACACTGTCATCATCTTCTGCTACACTGCCATCATCTGCTACACTGTCATTATCTTCTGCTTCACTGTCATCATCTGCTACACTGTCAACATCTTCTGCTACACTGTCATCTTCAGCTGCACTGTCATCATCTTCTGCTTCACTGTTTCTCATCTGCTACACTGTCAACATCTTCTGCTACACTGTCATCATATACCTGCTACACTGTCATTATAATTTGCTACACTGTCATTTTCTTTTTACTACTGTCATCATCTTCTGCTCCACTATTATCATCTTATGCTACACTGCCATCATCTACTACACAGTCATCATCTTCTGCCCTACACTGTCATCATCTTCTGCTACACAGCCATCATCACCTGCTACACTATCATCCTCTTCTGCTACACTGTCATCGTCTTCTGCTCCACTGTATCATCTTATACCACTGCCATCCTCCTACAAGTCATCATCTTCTGCTACACTGTCATCATCTTCTGCGACACTGTCATCATCTTCTGCTACACAGCCATCACCTGTTACCCACTGTCATCATCTTCTGCTACACTGTCATCGTCTTCTGCTACACTGTGATCATTTTCTGCTACACTGCCATCATCTTCTGCTACAACGTCACCATCTTCTGCTACACTGTCATCATCTGCTACACTGTCATCATCTTCTGCTACACTGTCATCATCTTCTGCTGCACTGCCATCATTTTCTACTACACTGTCATCATCTTCTGCTACACTGTCATCATTTTCTGCTACATTGCCATCATCTTCTGCTACAACGTCACTATCTTCTGCTACACTGTCATCATCTGCTACACTGTCATCATCTTCTGCTACATTATCCTCATCTTCTGCTACACTGTCATCATCTTCTGCTACACTGCCATCATCTGCTACACTGTCATTATCTTCTGCTATACTGTCATCATCTTCTGCTACACTGTCATCATTTTCTTCTACACTGCCATCATCTTCTGCTACAACGTCACCATCTTCTGCTACACTGTCACCACCTCCTAAAATATCACCTTCTGCTACACTATCATCTTCTGCTACACTGTCATCATCGTCTGCTACACTGTCATAACCCTTCTACTACAATGTCAGAATCTTCTGCTACACTGTCACCTTCTGCTGCACTGTCACCTTCTGCTACACTGTTACCTCCTACATTTTCGCCTTCTACTCTGTCATCATATTCTGCTACACTGTCATCATCTTCTGCTACACTGTCACCATCATCTGCTACACTGTCATTATCTTTTGCTACATTGTCATCATCTTCTGCTGCACTGTCATTATCTTTTTCTACACTGTCATCATCTGCTATGCTGTCAACATCTTCTCCTACACTGTCATCATCTTCTGCTACACTGTCATAATCTTCTGCTTCACTCTCGTTATCCTCTGCTACACTGTCATCATCCTCTGTTACACTGCCATCATCTGCTACACTGTCATCATCTTGTGCTACACTGCTATCATCTGCTACACTGTAATCATCTTCTGCTACACTGTCATCATCTTCTGCTACTCTCTCATCATTTTCTCCTACACTGCCATTATCTGCTACACTGTCATAATCTTCTGCTTCACTGTCATCATCTTCTGCTACACTGCTATCATATGATACACTGTCATCATCTTCTGCTACACTGTCATCATCTTCTGCTACTCTGTCATCATTTTCTGCTACACTGCCATCATCTGCTACACTGTCATCATGTTCTCCTACACTGTCACCATCTTCTGCTACACTATCACCTTCTGCTACATTATCACCTTCTGCTACACTGTCATCATCGTCTGCTACACTGTCATCACATTCATATACAATGGCACCATCTTCTATTACACTGTCACCTTCTGCGACACTGTCACCTTCTGCTACACTTTCACCTCCAAAATTTTCGCCTTCTGCTACTCTGTCATCATATTCTGCTACACTGTCATCATCTTCTGCTACACTGTCATCTTCTGCTACACTGTCATCTTCAGCTGCACTGTCATCATCTTCTGCTTTACTGTTTCTCATCTGCTACACTGTCAACATCTTCTGCTACAATGACATCATCTGCTAACACTGTTACAGGTATCTGCCACACTGTCATCTTCTGCTACACTATATTGTCTGCTACACTCCCATTGTCTTCTGCTACACTGTCACTTTCTGCTACACTATGTCATCAGCTACACTGCCATCATCTCCTGCTACACTATCAACTTCTGCTACACTGTGTCATCTGCTATTCTGTCATCATCTTCTGCCACACTGCCTTCATATTCCGCTACACTGTCATTATCTTCTGCTACACTATCATCATCTTTTGCGATACTGTCATCTGCTACACTGTCATCCTCTTCTGCTACACTGCCATCATCTGCTACACTGTCATCATCTTCTGCTACACTGTTATCATCTTCTGCTACACTGTCATCATCTTCTGCTACACTATCATCATCTTCTGCTACACTGCCATCATCTGCTACTGTCATCATCTTCTGCTACACTGTTACCATCATCACACTGTCATCATCTTCTACATCTTCTGCTACACTGTCATCATCTTCTGCTGTCATCATCTTCTACTCATCTTCTGCTACACTGTCATCATCTGCTACACTGTCATCATCTTCTGCTACACTGTCATCATCTTCTGCTACAAAGTCATCATCTTCTGCTACACTATCACCTGCTACACTGTTATCATCTGCTACACTGTCATCATCTTCTGCTACACTGTCACCATCTTCTACTACACTATCACCTTCTGTTACACTATTACCTTTTGCTACACTGTCATCATCGTCTGCTACACTGTCATAACCTTCTACTACAATGGCACTATCTTCTGCTACACTGTCACCTTCTGCTACACTGTCACCTACATTTTCGCTTTCTGCTTCTCTGTCATCATATTCTGCTACACTGTCATCATCTTCTGCTATACTGTCATCATCATCTGCTACTGTCATCATCTTCTGCTACACTGTCATGTTCTGCTACACTGTCATCATCTTCTGCTATACTCTCATCATCATCTGCTCCACTGTCATCATCTTCTGCTACAATGTCATTATCTTCTGCTACACTGTCATCATCTGCTAGATTGTCATCATCTTATGCTACACTGTCATCATATTCTGCTACACTGTCGTCATCTTCTGCTACACTGTCGTCATCTCCTACACTATCATCATCTGCTTGACTGTCATCATCTTCTGCTACACTGTCCTCATCTTCTGCTACACTCTTATCATCTTCTGTGATACTGTCATCTTCTGCTACACTGTCATCATCTTCTGCTACACTGTCATCATCTTTTGCTACACTGTCATCATCTGCTCCACTGTCATCATCTGCTAAACTCTCACCATCGTCTGCTACACTGTCATCATCATTTGGTACACTGTCATGTGCTACAGTGTCATCATCTGCTAAACTGTCACCATCGTCTGCTACACTGTCATCACCTTCTGCTACACTGTCATCTGCCACACTGTCATCATCTTCTGCCAAACTGTCGTCATCTCCCACACTGTCATCATTTTCTGCTACAATGCATCATTTTCTGCTACACTGTCACTTTCTGATACACTGTCAACTGTCATCTTCTGTTACACTGCCAACTGTCATCTTTTTCTACACTGCCATCATTTTATGCTACACTGTCATCATCTTCTGCTACACTGTCACCTTCTGCTACAGTGTCGTCTTTTGCTACACTGTCGTCTTCTGCTACACTGTGTCATATTCTGCTACACTGTGTCATCTGCTACACTGCTTTCATCTTCTGGTACACTGTCACCTTCTACTACACTGTCACCCTCTACTACACTGTTTCCCTCTACTACACTGTCAACTTCTACTACACTATTACCTTCTACTACACAGTGACCTTCTACCACACTGTCACCTTCTACTACACTGTTATCTTTTACTACACTGTTACTTTCTACTACACTGTCGCCTTCTACTGCACTGCTACCCTCTACTACACTGTCGCCTTCTACTGCACTGTTACCCTCTACTACACTGTTTCCCTCTGCTACACTGTCAACTTCTACTACACTGTTACCTTCTACTACACTGTCACCCTCCACTACACTGTCACCTTCAACTACACTGTTACCCTCTACTACACTGTCACCTTCTACTGCACTGTCACCTTCTACTACACTGTTACCTTCTACTACACTGTCACCCTCTACTACACTGTCACCCTCTACTACACTGTCACCTTCTACTACACTGTCAACTTCTACTACACTGTCACCCTCTACTACACTGTCAACTTCTACTACACTGTAGCCTTCTATTTCACTGTCACCTTCTACTACTCTGTCACCCTCTACTACACTGTCACCTTCTACTACACTGTCACCTTTCACTACACTGTCACCCTCTACTACACTGTCACCTTCTACTACACTGTCACCTTCTACTACACTGTCGCCTTCTACCACACTGTCACCTTCTACTACACTGTCACCTTCTATTACACTGTTACCTTCCTCTACATTATCACCTTCTGCTACATTGTCACCTTATTGTACACTCACCAGCTACTCTGTCACCTGCTACACTGTCACACTATACTACACTGTTACCTTCTGCTACTCTGTCACCTTCTACTACACTCACCTGCTACACTGTCACCTGATACACTGCCTTCATCAACTGCTACACTGTCTCCTGATACACTGTTACCTGCCACTGTCACCTTCCGCTACACTCGCCTGCTACATTGTCACCCTGTGCTGCACTGTCATCATCGTTGATAATTTAGAAACATTGGTAATATAGTGGTACAGGCAAACGTGTAATACTCACAGTGTATCTTCGATTCCCGAACAGTGGTGTATTGCGTGAATGGAGTCGGCTCTGCACGTAACTGCACCATGAAGGAAATAGTGTCGTTTGTTTCTGAACGCCGAACCTATAAATAGTAACAAACACAGACGCTGCCGTGCACGTCTACCCGGGTACAGGTCGCTGACCCACATCGGGGCCTGGGAGGCGAAAATTTAATAATAATAATAATAATAATATTAATAATAATAATAATAATAATAATAATAATAATAATAATAATAGTAGAGGGTGACAGTGTAGCAGAAGGTAACAGTGTAGTAGAAGGTAACAGTGTAGTGGTGCTGGTTGAGGAGGAACGACACGTGTAAATGACGTGTCAAACTTAGTACTAACCCAGCCTTTACTTTACCTTTATCTTCTTCGCCAATGACAAGTACTGGGCATGCACTGGCTCCTGAATGTATCTGAATCAGCTCCAGTGTTGTTCAAGTGGTCTTCAAAGAGCACATACTCAGTAGAAAGCGGGAGGAAAACTGCAAGTTATTCTTTATTGTGTTTTCCCTGGCTATGCTGAGTCAAGCCAAGAAATCTGATGTAGAATCATCACGTTCTTCGTAACTAGATTTCTACTTATTCAGATAAAAAGTTTGTTGTAAGTTGTAATGAAGATTACTACAGGGTATATGCATTTCAATATAAATCGTATTAATATTTTTTATAAAGTGATAAATTGTCAAACCACAACAGTTTTCTAACGAATACTGTATACCGACAGTTTTAACTTGTCCCACATCTGCCAGATGTGGTTTGAAGCCTACTGATCTGCCACTTTTAATTGATTCATATTACTACAAACCCTTCTCTTACGCCGTTTTATATATGAGTTGAATTTAAATGAAATATCAATTAATGAATTATAATTTCCATGTATGCATATCTATGGTTGATCAGTGGCGTTGGGGGTACACTTATGTGAGAGGGCACATACTTGACACATATACTGTATATCTATCACACACACACACACACACACACACACACACACACACACACACACACACAAACACAAACAAATGTAAGTCTGTAAATTTTCAGCAACCGGCTGCAACTCTATTAATAAACCGTTTATTATTATTATTATTATTATTATTATTATTATTATTATTATTATTATTATTATTATTATTATTATTATTATTATTACACACACAGTGAAAAACTACTCGGCAGATACAGTTGAGTCTTACCCAAGCTAACCTTCACACAGTGAGGTCCCACCCAGTGATAATTCCCCTGAGACTGCACGATAGAGAGGCCTGGGACCACACCTCACCCACTTGATTGAGTGAGGTCCTGTGACAACAGACCACGTGGTGTCCCCATGATGCTACGACACCACGTAGTGAATGAGTTGCTACAGCATCATGTGAGGGAATTACTACGCCATGTGATGCCCCTCATAACACCATCTGTGAGGGAATTATTACACCACACCAGGCCCCTCATAAACCATCTGTGAAGGAATTACTACACCACACCAGGCCCCTCATACACCATCTGTGAGGGAATTACTACACCACACCAGGCCCCTCATACACCATCTGTGAGGGAATTACTACACCACGTGATGCCCTTCATAACACCATCTGAGAGGGAATTACTACATCATCAGGCGCCTCATACACCATCTGTGAGGGAATTACAACACCACGTGATGCCCCTCATAACACCATCCGTGAGGGAATTACTACGCCATGTGATTCTGGTAATGGGAACAAACCCATTATCTGCCTCAGTGCAGGAGGCAATGATATTGGCCGGTGTAGGAGCGAGGAGCTTCTTGATAAGTTCAAGGCAGCTATAGATCGTATTAGGCCTAAGGGAGCGATCCCTATCATATGCGGTGTCCTGCCTCGAAGGAGAGTTGGCCGTGAATGGTTGTCAAGGGCGGTTGGTGTCAACGACCGTCTTGACAGATATTGCAAGTCAATATCGGTCCCATTCATTGACAACTGGGACAACTTCTACGGCAGAAGGGACCTTTATGCTAGGGATGGAGTGCACCTGTCTCGGGATGGGGTGGCAACCCCGGCTGGGTCTCTAGAGGGGGCAGTTCAAAGGATATCGAAGTCTTTAAATTGCTAGGGGAACATATGGGCACGGGGGTGGGGGAAACTGCAGTGGGAGCGGGTAAACAAAGTAAAAGATTACAGGGAAATAGTGTTAGGAATGATGACAAAGCTAAATTAAACAGGGAGTTTAAAACTAAACGCGGTAAAGGGAGGACTCAGAACACAACTAACTTAAATGTCTACGACGCGAACAGTAGAAGTATGAGAAACAAAATGGATGATATTAGGGCTTTGGTATGTACCGGAAAAATCGATATAATAGCATTCACTGAAACATGGATCAACCTAGACTCACGTGAGTTGCTGGTCGAATACCAAATTGCGGGTTACAAATTGTTCCATACCCATAGGCAGACCAGGAAAGGAGGCGGAGTAGCAATCTATATTAGGGAAAATCTGAAGTGTGAAATAAATAAGGAAATAAAAACTGAGCGGAATACAGAAACAATTTGGATAGAATTAAGCGACTGTAGGGAAAAATTAATCACAGGAGTAATATATTGACCTCCCAATCTTGATAGAGTCAATGAGCGACTTATCTGGGATGAAATGCGCAGGGCTTCCATTCACAACAAAGTCTGTATAGTCGGCCACTTTAACCTTGGCCAAATAGATTGAACTGACCTTACGGGTAACTCAGAATAAGAGGATTTTCTCGAGACGATCCAGGACTGTTTCCTAAGTCAACATATAACCGAACCCACACGGGGTAATAATATACTCGATTTAGTTCTGTGGAACAGAGTAAACCTCATTAGCAATGTCGAGGTAGGGAACGAACTTGCAAACAGCGATCACAAAGAAATTAGATTCCAGTTAGACTTTCAGGGCAGAAGTAAGGAAAATTCCTCTAAAGTACCAGATTTCAGAAGGGCAAGCTTTGACAGTTTAAAGAGGCAGCTGAGAGAGGGGGTGTCGCGCTTGGCCGTGAACCTGACAGATGACTCGGACCTGATAACGAGATCTGAGATTGCAGAGTTCCACGACAATTTATATAATGAGTTACTTAATGCACAAAGGCAGAACATACCATACAAAAACCTCAGATCAGACAACAATGACCCTAAATGGATAAATAATTATTTAAAGAACATCATTGGCCAAAGGAAGGCTATAGGTAGAAGGATAAAGCGTGGCGAAATTTACCTCCAGGATTATTATAAGATATTGGCGAGTGGGGTTAAAACCGAGATAAGGAAAGCCAAGAGGAATAAAGAGGTAAGGATAGCAAGGGAGGCGAAGACAAACCCCAGAGGATTCTACCAAATGTATCAAACTAAAACACGAGAAAAGATTGGACCAATACGGTCAGATACCGGCGAGCTAACCGATAACGACGGAGAAATGAGCAATAATCTGAATAAATATTTTTCAACAGTTTTCACCACCGAAAATTTAAACATGATACCAGAGGCACCGACTCTATTCAGAGATAGTGAAGAAAACAAATTAAGCGAGATAGTAGTGACTAGTAACGATGTTAGTAAGCAAATAGACAAACTAAAGCTTAATAAGTCACCTGGTCCCGATGAGATATTTGCCAGAGTATTAAAGGAATGTAAGGAAGAGCTTAGTATGCCCTTAGCAAAGTTGTTTAACATGTCCTTAAAAACAGGTGTAGTACCAGAATCCTGGAGGATAGCGAATGTAATACCGATTTTCAAGAAGGGGGATAGATCACTATCCTCTAACTACCGCCCAATCAGTCTAACATCAATAGTAGGCAAATTACTGGAAGCAATCATTTCAAACTCTATTCGAAATCACCTGGAGAAGCACAGATTGATCAATGATTCCCAGCATGGATTCACAAGCGGACGTTCTTGTCTAACTAATCTATTAACATTCTTTTCATCAGTTTTCGAATAGGTGGACGAGGGGCACAATTATGATGTGGTATATCTCGACTTTAGCAAAGCCTTCGACAGAGTCCCCCACGAAAGACTAATTAGAAAGGTAGAAGCACATGGCATCAAAGGAAACATCCTTAAATGGATTAGGGCGTGGTTACAGGACAGGAAACAGGGAGTGAGCATTAACGGCACTAAGTCCCATTGGGGCAACGTCACAAGTACTTGGACCATTATTATTTATTATATACATAAACGACATAGATATCGGCATAGACAGCAACATAAGTAAATTTGCTGATGACACTAAAATAGGACGTGTAATTAAATCAGACGAGGACTCTGCAAAACTAAAGGAAGATCTAAAGAAATTTTTCGAATGGTCGGAAAAATGGCAGATGAAATTCAATGTGGATAAATGTAAAGTACTCAGTATAGGAGATGTAAACAGGGAAACCAGTTATCAAATGAACAACGATGCCATTGTGGAATCTGACTGCGAGAGAGATTTAGGAGCAATGATAAGTAGGAACCTGAAGCCAAGTAAACAATGTGTTTTTGCTCGTAACAAAGCTAATAAAGTACTTGGGTTCATACAAAGGAGTGTTAGTTACAAGACTAGCGAGGTCATCCTAAAACTGTATCTTGCGTTTGTGAGACCACACCTGGATTACGCAGTTCAGTTCTGGTCAGAGTATTACAGATTGGATTTAGAATCCTTGGAAAGAATTCAGAGGAGAATGACAAGACCAATCCCGGGCATTAGGAACCTTGAATATAGAGACAGGTTAAAGCATCTTAATTTGCACTCCCTCGAGAGACGTAGAGCGAGGGGCGACCTGATAGAGGTGTATAATTGGAAGTCAGGGCTAAACAAAGGGGACATTACAAAGGTACTCAAACTATCCAACCAGGAGCGAACTCGTAACAATGGTTTTAAATTAGACAAATTTAGATTTAGGCGTGAAATAGGTAAGCAATGGTTTGGAAACAGAGTAGTGGATGAATGGAACAAGTTACCAAATATCATCATTAACTCGAATACGCTGAATAGCTTCAAACATAGGTTGGATGCTTATATGAGCAATAGGGGTTGGGTGTAAACGGGACTGCCCAGTATGGGCCAATAGACCCGCTGCAATTTCCTCCATTCTTATGTTCTTAAAGGTAGAAAAAAAGGGAAACCTATAATTTAATC